TTTTGTCTCAGTTTATTTTCCATTTTAAAAATTTATGTTGCTATTATCGGTATTAGTGTGTTGTTGCAAACATTTTTACTAAGTTTGAGTTTATTAATTTTGAGAGACATGTTTCTAAGTTCTTATCTAGTCAACTTATGAGTGTTTGTTTATTTGTTTTTTTTGAATTTTACTTTAGTTAATCCGAAACCGATACAGTAAAACCCGAACCCAAATGATATATGGTAACTTCAGTATAATCCGAACCCGAACCGAAACCGATGTGTTATATCCGATCCCGATCCGAATTTAAGAATTTCTTAAAATGGGACCTAAGAGGTGTTACAAAAAAGAACCGATATCCGATATACCCGATCCGAACTCGAACGGATACCCGAACGCCCAGGCCTAAGTTCAAGTGCTACCTTATATGCAAATATATCATCGAGCTCGATTTCTTTACGGTTCCATTGTATTCCAGACATGATATAATGTATAGAGATCTCATTATTATCCGGACCTTGTGTACCATGAAGCTCAGCGTCCCGAGCCCCATCGATTTGCACAATCGGCCCGACCGGTTCAGTCGGCACGGCTGGCCCACTTGGCTCGACCGGTTCGGTCGGCACAGCCGGCGCATCAGTGTCATGGATGGTTCCCATGGTTCCCTCGGATCCGGCACCTTTCTTGGACTTCCGAGGGTTCTTATCTTTGGAACCAATTGGTCTTGGACTTTGTCCCTCTTGGACTTCTATTCTTATTGGTACATTACAAGCCAGGATGTATGACTTAGTCACTCTAATCGGGTCAGCAAATGAATCTGGCAACTGATTAGCTAGCTTTTGTAAATGTATAATCTTTTTGACTTCTAAATCACATTCTTTAGTCCGAGGATCTTGCCAAGATATTGATGGTTGAGACCATTCGATTTCTTTTACTAACTGGTTATTCTCTCCCCCAAGGTCGGATATGTGGACTCATCTAAGTGTGAGTCTGCATATCTGGCCTTAAATAGATCACCCGTGGTTGGCTCAAGATACTTAATAATCGTTGGGGAGTCATATCCAACATATATTCCCATCCTTTTTTGTGGTCCCATTTTAGTTCTCTGTGGTGGAGAAATTGGAACATATACGACACATCCAAAAGTCTTAATATGAGATATGTCTGGCTCATGACCCGTAAGTAATTGGGATGGTGAATATTTATGCTCACTAGATGTCCTGATGCGAATTAACTGTGTTGCATGTAATAATGCATGTCCGCACGATGATACATGGAATTTAGACCTCATGAGTAATGGTCTAGCTATCAGCTGTATGCATTTAATAAATGATTCGACCAAGCCGTTCTGTCTCTGTACATGTGCCACGGAGTGTTCCACACTTACCCCCCTCGACATACAGTAATCATTAAACGCTTGGGACGTGAACTCACCAGCATTACCTAGACGTATAATCTTTAAAGGAAAATCTGGAAAATGTGCTCTCAGTCTTATGATTTGAGCAAGCAGCCTTGCAAATGCCAAAATTTGTGTGGATAATAGGCATACATGCGACCATCTGGACGATACATCTATCAGGACCATGAAATATCGAAATGTTCCACTAGGTGGGTGTATTGGTCCACATATATCTCCCTGAATCCATTCCAAAAAAATTATGATTTCCTTATTAACTTTGACTGGTGATGGCCTAGATATGAGTTTCCCTTGTGTACATGCTACACATGTGAGATTCTTTGGGATAACTCTCTTTGTTGTGTGCCCTTGAGAATTCATTAACAATTTACGTATCATACTAGCCTCGATCATACTGATCTTTGCAAGTATAGAGCAGTAGATATTGCAGGTATAGTTTCTAGGATTCTTTTATTGCCTTGGACTATTTCAGTAATAATAAAGAACTCTTTCTTTCCTTCGTCCTTTGTTTCAAGGTGGAAACCATTTAATCTTATATCCTTGAAACTCAATAAGCTTTTTTTAGAACTGGGTGAATATAAGGCATTAGAGATCTCTATATGTGTGCCATTAGGCAGCAATATATAAGCCTGGCCGTGGTCCTCAATAAGGCTGGCCGTACCCGCAATGGTTTGTATATTGCCATTTTGCATTGTGAGATTGATGAAATATCTTTTGTCTCTAAGAATTGTGTGGCTTGATCCACTATCCACCACAAGTATACTCATCTCATCTTTCATTATATATAATAACAATCATAATCTCAGAGACTTTTATAAAATAAAACTTGTATATTATTAAATTAAAAACATCAAATAATAATAATAATAATAGAAAACAAAACAAGAAAACATAGAATCAAAGCAAAAACAAACAAGATGTCGAATTTTAGTCTTTTAGACAATCTGAGGTTTCATAATCTTGTCGACCATCATTCTCATGGTCATGGTTGAAATCACCATTATCATCTTGGACCATCTGAGCTTCAGGGTTCTTGCCTTTCAGATTCTCGGGATAGAGATCACATATATATTTAGGAGTTCTGCATGTCTTAACCCAATGATTCCCCATTCCACAGCTGTGGAAAAGTGATTTGGTCGAGTAAGATGGCTTAGATATGCCACCTCGACCGCGGCTGTAACCGCCTCGTCCACGGCCATAGCTGGGACGACGACCATGGTTATTGTGGTTCCCTTGTCCACGGCCGTACGAGTTATAAGAACCTCAACCACCACGTCCTCTCCATCCACCACGGCCTCTACCGTGTGGTCTATTATCATAGACGTGGTTGCTTTCTTTGGAATCTTTCTTTTCTTCTACAGCCTTATTGGCTTCTGGTAATGGGGCTGATCCAAGAGGTTTCATCTGACTATTCCTCATCAAGAGTCCGTTGTTAGTCTCGGCCAGAAGTAGGCACGAGATCAGATTAGTGTATGTGGTGAAGCCTCTTTCTCTGTATTGCTGTTGCAGCACTAGAATGGAATGTAGAGAATGTCTTTTCTAGTAACTCTTTCTCGGTTACTTCTTCACCACATAGTCTCATCTTTGAGACAATCTTAAACAAGACTGAATTATATTCATCCACAGACTTATAGTCCTAGAATCTGAGATTTCTCCACTCATATCTAGCCTTTCGTAGTAACACCATTTTCTGGTGATCATATCTCCGATGTAAGGCGGTCCAAAGGTCTAGTGGATTCTCCATAGTAAGATACTGATCTTTAAGACCGTTAACAAGATGATGACGAATGATACTTATTGCCTAGTATTTGTTTTTGTCATTCTCATTATTATTCTCGATGATAGTCTCACCGAGTCCCTTTGACCTTAGGCAAATCTTAGTATCCAATGCTCACTGCAAATAGTTATCTCCAGAGAGATTAAGGGCATCATATTCCAGATTGCATATTTTCGACATCTGAATCAATATCATTCAGATTTTAGGGTTTCATAATCAAACAAAATCATGCGCATGAAACCAAACAAGGATATCGACCAAACAATTCTAATATCGACCATGGTGCAACCAAACAACCTAGGGTTCCGAGTTCTATATGTATCAAGGTGATAAGGCCACATGGCCATGATATATGATGCAATCAATCTATTTCAAAACAATTGTTCAAGCAAAGAACTTTAGAAATCAATGACCAAATTCGGATTCTATGTTAATTTTAGGGATTAGGGTTTATCAATTCTAAACAATCTTAGCAATAGGTTTAGGGTTCATACAAGCAAAACAATAACTAATTCGAATTAGGTTTTAGGGTTTCCGGATTAGGGTTTTAGATTAGGTTTTCTAGATTAGGGTTTAATTCATAACAATTAAACATTCTTAAATTTCTAGAAATCAGATTTAGCAATAGATGATTTATGGTTTTCAAGGCCCTTTAAGGGTTTCAGATTTAAAGTTAGTTTAAACATAAAATCTATAAACCTAAACCTCAAATCATCAAGCAATTGAATCAATCAACAATCAACAATCAAAATCAGATTCATGAATTAGGGTTTTAAACAATCCTAAGCACCCGGGTTCTAAGTTTTTATGTAAACCTCAATCAAAAACAATCAAGCAATCAATCAAACATTATTGGGTTCCAACTATCAACCTAAACAAACCATTCAACCTAACAATTCTATTCGCAAATTAGGGTTTCTTATTAGGGTTTTGATTCTTTACGTTTTTAGGGATCGAAGTTACCATATGTTTTGATGTGTAGAAATCAGACCACCTTAGAGAGATGAAGAACTTCGAGCTGAGCCGGACTGGATTAGGGTTCTTCGCGGTTGAGATTTGTAGTTGGGATCGGTTTAGGGCTTCTTGTGGTCGTGCATGGTTGGATTTAGTGCAGGAACTGCAGTTTGTTGCAGAGGCGGCTGGTCGGAGCTTGAAAGTGATCGCGAGCTAGGGTTCTTGGCTGCAAAAAGGCAAGACAAGGGCGGCTGGTCGGGTGCTTGCCGAGAAAAGGAAAAAGAACTAGGGCTTCCGCGAGCAAAAAGTAAACAAGGAGCTGCAGTGGTTTGATGGCGCCAGTGAGGTCTATGGTTTCTTATGGTCGGATTTTAGCTAGAGTTTCGAGAGACACATTGTGCTGATAACATGTTGTGAATCAGAGAGAATTGTAGAGGAAAATTGCTTGTGTTATTATTGATCATCAATAGAGGTTCTTTTATATAAGGATTATATAAGATATGAAATATGGAAATTATCCAAATCCTAAACCAACTAGGAATAGAAAAAATAGTACAACATGAATAAGGAAAATAAGACACATAGCCGCCTATGATCTAGTATGCGTGTGTGCCTAATGGGCGGTAGACTGTCTTATATTAGTTGTATCCAATCGAATGAGAGAATGAGACAAAGAATATTATGTGGTCAAGATGTGTGGCCAAGATTAGAACATAGATTATAAAAAGAGAATGAAAGAAATTGAGAGATGTGTGGTCAAGATTAGAACATAGAATTTATGATCTAATGGCTCAATGGCTCGTGTTATCTTTTTATTAATTGCAAAATGATCAATTTACGCTAGTCCATATAGATTTTTTTTTTTTTTTTATGTCGATTTTTGGGCGATTTGGTGTATACAAGATTTTAAAACCATCTAGGAACAATGCAGTCGGAGATGGCTCCAGACACGATGGCTCCGGTTGAGCTACTTCGAGAAAGCAAATCGTCCATCGAAGAAATCATCGCGAGGATGCTCTCCATCAAGAAACAGGGAGACCCCAAATCCGAGAATAGAGAACTCCTCACTCAGATGTTTCTCAACTTCATCAACCTCCGTCAGGTTCGGTTCCCAACATTCTTCTTTATTAGGGTTCGCTTTAATAATCTCATTAATTAATTCAATTTGGTAGGCGAATCGTGCGATTCTGGCGGAAGAAGAGAGAGTGAAGACAGAGACGGAGTTATCAAAATCCCCAATCGATCTCACTTCATTGCAGCTTCACAACCTCATGTACGAGAAGAGCCATTACTTGAAAGCTACCACATCTTCCAGAGAGTTCAAATCCAAGTATCCCAACATCGATCTCATATCAGAACAAGACTTCTTCAACCAAGCTCCTGAGGCAATCAAATCTCAGACTCTCTCAAACGATACTTCCCATGATCTGATGCTTAAAAGACTCAACTTTGAGCTCCATCAGGTAAACAATCCTTCTCAAAACAAAAGATTCATGTTCTTGATTTGAATGTTTTAAGCTGTGTTTCAGAGGAAAGAACTGTGCAAGCTTCGAGCTGAGTTGGAACAACGAAAGAAGTGTTTGCTGGAAGCTAACGCAGAGCGTAACAAGTTTCTGTCGAGTCTCCCATTGCATCTTAAGTCTCTCAAGAAAGCATCTTTGCCAGTACAGAACCAGTTGAGTTTGCCGGATCCCAAGAAGCTCAAGTATCATGCTCTAGCTGAGCTTCTTCCTCCCCCGCTTTACGTTATATATTCAAAGTTTATGGCTCAGAAGGAAGCTTTTGAAGAGAACATAGATATCGAGGTGTCCGGGAGTCTTAAGGATGCTCAGAGTTATGCTAGGATTCAAGCAGAACAGAACCCAGGTTAGGAATTTTCAGAGATTTTTTTTTTTAACCTAAGAAGTAAATGAAGTGCTTATTATTATGTTTGTTCAATATCATAGAGAGCAGCTCTGATGATGAAGGAAAAACGCAAAGGAAGCGACCCAAGAAAGAAAGTTCTGATGAAGCAGGAGGACTATTTCGGGTCCATCCTCTTACACTTATCCTTCACATTTATGATGATGAGACTCCAGATCCCAAGTCACATCAGCTTCTCCTGCTTAAGTTTGAGTACTTGTTGAAGTTGAATGCTGTGTGTGTTGGCATTGACGAGTCTCTTGATGGACCAGAGATAAATATCCTGTGCAATTTGTTTCCAGACGATGCTGGACTTGAGCCTCCTCATCAGGTACGCTCAGATCTAATTCTATACCGAATATTTTCTTGAAACCATTCAATTCATACCCAATTTCTTTTGTTGGCTTGTTACTCAGTCAACCAAGCTCATTCTTGGTGATGATCATGCATTTGATGAGAGAAGAACATCGAGGCCATATAAGTGGGCACAACATTTGGCGGGGATCGAGGTTTTACCTGAAATGTCTCCGTTTGTAACTGGCAAGGATACTCAAAACAGTGATACAGCTTCTGTATCTGATCACTACAATGTGCAGACTGTTCTGAGAAGAATACGGTCCCTGAAAAAAAGCTAAGCTAACTCTTATGTGAGTCATTTGATTCTGTTTGTTTTATTAAAAGTTATTTGATTATCTGTATTTGAAAACTTTCATGGTATTTGTAGCTCTTCACACATTGTTAGACTGTAATGCCACAACTAGAAAAACGAATGTAGCATGTTTGGTCAAGTGATCAAAAGATTCCAACAACTTAAGAGGCGATAACTAGTAATCCCTATCTCCTAAACTCTAGTCAAAGAAGTGGATCCAAACCTCTCTACTCTCTGGTACAACTAGAGCACAGTAGAATCACTTTTTGAGACCACTAACATTAAGGAATTTTCCAATTAGAACATGAAAATATTTAGAGGAATTACTTGGAATGACCCAAATTGATTTTAAAATGACTATAATGACTCATATAAAATTTTAAATACTAGATCCTATTTTGTAACAACCAAATGGACTAAAATACCCTTTTAATGTGTGCAATCCAAAAAAAAAGTTTACGAGGAAAAAAAAACATTAAACATAAAAGAGAAAATAAATTAGATTCAACATAAAAGAAAAAATAAAATTGTTTCTCGGGTCTCTCTCTCTTTCTCGCACGACAACGACGATTTCGAAGGGGGGGGGGGATTCTTCGATCGAGTCTCGTCGTCGTTCCTCTCTCACTCCGACACCATCGCCTCTGTCAGAAGTCCATCTCATCGTCTTTGTCTCTTACGTCGCATCTTTCCACAGATCAGAATGATGTGATCCATTGTTCTGTAAACAGAAAAGAATGGAAGAAAGTGTTCAAACCACCATGAAAGGAACAACTTGAGAAAGAAGAAAAGAGGGGTGAAAGAGATGACGACAGTTACTAAAAAAATAATTAGCCCTAATTGTGGTCTTAAACCACTAGAAATAAACCAAAATCGAATTAATTGGAGTAAACCGTGATTAAATCCGAATTTAATTTCTACTGGTTTACTAAAACCC